TGGGCCTCGGCAGCCTCCGGGGTGACAGGCAACTGCTGGTATGCCTGGGCCAGGTCAAATTTGGCGAAAATCTTGCCACCCCCCAGGGAAGCCAAAATGTGGCTTATTACCGGGACCGGGTACGAATGTTGCTGCAGCGCCTTGTTAATCGTACATTTGTAATCGGCGCATAGTCGTATGGACCCATCTGATTTGACAGGGGTTACGATCGGGGTCTCCCATTTGCTGTATGGTACTGGCTCTAAAACCCCTTGCTCAACTAGTTTGTCAATCTCTTTTTCCACCTTATGTTTGAGAGACACAGGTACTTTCCGATACTTCAACCTAATAGGTTTGACTGACGGATCTAAGTCAAACGCAACCGGGGGGCCCTTGTACCTCCCCAACCCTTCGGCAAATACATCAGGGAACAGGTCGTACAGCATGCCCCATTTATTTTCAGACATCCTGTTAATCCCAGAAATACCAATGCCCAATGGCTCAAACCAATCTAACCCTAGCAGGTTAACCCGGTCTCCCTCTGCAATCAGGAATGACAGTTTAACACATTTCCCCTTATACTCAACAGTAACAGAGTCCCGTCCGGCCAAGGGAATTCGGTTGCCCTGGAAGTCGGACACTCTGGTTCCCGCAGGCTGGAGCCGCCGCCGGCTTCGGTTCGGGAACAACTGGCGCCAGGACGCGGCAGAAATCACCGTCACGGACGATCCTGAGTCCACCTCCATTGTACAGGGTCGGCCGTCGAGGAGTGGAGTCACGGTGATCTTGCCCTGGCTGCTGGTGCGATTTACGGCCGATGCGCTCGACAAGGTCGCCGTCAACTGGCAGCTTGCTTCCGATGCTGAGGAACGGGTCTTGCCTTGGGTGCTGACTGGAGTGCCCCTCTGCGCTGACCGGTTGTTAGTTGAGGGATCCTTCTTCGCTGATCTGCAGACTCTGGCCAGATGACCACGCCGCCCACACGCTCTGCAGTCGACATCACGAGCCCAACAGGAGTCGCGCTGGTGCTTCCCGCCACAACCGGAGCAAGGCTTGACGTTGGTAGTCTTCGCTGGGGTCCGCTTGCCTCGAACCGCGTTGACGTCATCATCCGCGTCTTCGCCCTCGCTGTCTCGTTGAGCGTGTATACTGGGCTCTGCCACCCGCTGGCGGACCTCCTTCGTGGACTTCTCCGCTGCTTCCGCGGCCACGGCCTCTTCGTAGGCCACTGCCCAGGTCAGGGTGGTGCGGGCGAACAGCCTCTGTTGCAGCCTTTCATCTTTGAGACCGCAGACGAGACGGTCTCTGAGGGCTTCCTCCACGTTGTGGAAATTACATGGCCGTGCGGCTTTGCGAAGGGCCGCCACGAAATCTGCGATGGTCTCGCCTCCGGCCTGGTTCCGCTTGTAAAAAGCGTGCCGGCAGGCGATCTCCGACGGTTGTGGAGAATAGTGAGCCTTAAGCTTCTCCGTGATGTCAGCGTAGGTGACAGTCTTTATATCAGTTGGGGCCACCAACGACCTGGCTATGTCGAAGGTCCCCTTCCCGCAGGAACTCAGGAGGCATGCTCGTTTCTTCGCCTCATCGGTGATGTCGTGGGTCTCCAGATGGAACTCGAACCTGGACAGGTAGGAGTCCCAGTCTTCTGAGGAGGGTTCGAAGCACTCGAACTTCTGGCTTCCAGCCATCGGGGGAGACTTGGGCACCGGAGCTGGTGGCGCCTCCGCCAGATCGGCTGCTGTGCTCTGCCCGCTTTCTTCCGAGTCCGAAGTGTGGATGTCCGCAGGGCTGCCTACCTGCTCTAAATCCCACCTTCGTCGCCAATTGTTAGATCGCGCTAACAAAGGACTCGTACAGTGATTCAGCAAGTGATTCAGCTTTATTGGAAGTAACGAGCAAGCACTAACTCAGTAAGAAACCAGAACAGAAAACAGTGGGAGCTTATGCTCCTTTTAAACATAACCGGGCTAATGTAGCCACGCCTATTTACAAATAACAACCAATGAGATTGCTAGAATAAAGACCAATGGGAGTCTTTCCCTCCTAGGGAATGGTATCGTTCTGATTGGTCGCTGTTACGAAGCGACCAATAGGAAGTTCGCTCAGAGGAGCCCTGGTCTGGCTCGAAGCTTAACAGGGGAGTCCTATGAGGTGATTCATGTAATCATTTCAATACATTACAGGATTTATACCCAACCCTTCACTTGGAGTCTCAGAGTGGATTAAAATTTCCTTCCCTCCTTCTCCCCACAACAGACACCCTGTGAGGTAGGTGGGGCTGAGAGAGCTCTTTTAGAACTGTTCTTGAGAGAACAGCTCTGAAAGAACTTGTAACTGACCCAAGATCACACCAGCAGCTGCATGTGGAGGAGTGGGGAATCAAACCCAGTTCTCCCAGATTAGAGTCTGTGCTCCTAATCACTACACCAAACCAGCAATAGGATGGCAGGGAAGTTTCTCTGAAGGAACTTCGGCTTCCCTAGGAATGGCAGGTGATTGCAGGATAGGTGTGCAGTGTTAGCAGAAAACAATCCAGGATTGAACCTGGGTACCACTTAATACAGAATACAAAATATAATACAAGATCAGCTTCAGATCCTGGCTTGAGGTACCCTAAGAGAGGTACTATGACTGATGGACAATTTAAAAACTGACAAATCACCTGGCCCAGATGGCATACATACAAGAGTTCTGAAAGAACTCAAATGTGAACTGGCGGATCTTCTGACAATAATATGTCATCTATCACTAAAATCTGTCTCTGTTCTGTTTCTGGAAGATAGCTAATGTAAACCCCATCTTTAAAAAAGGTTCCAGGGGAAATCTGGGAAATTACAGGCCAGTCAGTCTAATGTCGATACCAGGTAAGTTGGTGGAATCCATTATTACAGATAGAATTAGTAGGCAAATTGATGAACAAAAGCTATTGCGGAAGAATCAGTATGGATTCTGTAAGGGAAGATCTTGTCTCACTAACCTGTTAGAGTTCTTTGAGGAGTGAACAAACATGTGGACAAGGGTGACCCAATAGATGTTGTTTTACCTAGACTTCCAGAAAACTTTTGATAAAGTTCCTCATCAAAGGCTCCTAAGTAATTTCAGCAGTCATGAGATAAGAGGACAAGTCCTCTTGTGGATTAAAAACTGGTTCATTAACAGGAAACATAAAGTAAGTATAAATGGGCAGTTTTCACCGTGGAAAGGGGTAATCAGTGGGATAGGGCCTGCTCAGTAGTTGGTCCAGTGCTTTTTAACTTGTTCATTAATGATTTAAGGTTGGGAGTAAGAAGTGAAGTGGCTAAGTTTGAGGATGACACTAAGTTGTTCAGGAGGTTAGAACCAGGGAGGACTGTGAGGTGCTCCAGAGGGATATGTGGAGGCATGGGGGTGTGGCTTAATATGCTAATGAGTTCCTGCTGGGCTTTTTCTACAAAAAAAGCCCTGATTAAGTGGATGGAATACCTTCCCTGTGAAGAAAGGTTAGAGAGGTTAGGACTCTTTAGCTTGGAGAAACAACAGCTGAGGGGTGACATGATAGAGGTTTACAAAATTATGCATGAGGTAGAGAAAGAAGTACTTTTCTCCCTTTCTCATAATACAAGAACTCATGGGCACTCAATGGAATTAATGAGCAATAAGCTTAGAGCTGATAAAAGGAAGTACTTCTTCATCCAAAGAGTAGTTAACACATGGAATTCACTGCCTCAAGAAGTGGTGAGGCTACAAGCAAAGACAGTTTTAAGAGGGGATTGGATAAACATATGAAGCAGTGGTCCTAAAGTGTGCGCATGCTCTGTTGGGTGCTTGTGCGCATCCGTGGAGACTTGGGGAAAAAAACTTTTGCGAGGGGACATGGGCGGGCACAGGAACTACCACCGGAAACGCGATCAGACGCCCGCCCATGCCCCGCAGTTTCCGGAAACTAGTACCTCGGAGGTACTCGTTTTTTACAGCGCATCTTCGGAGTGAAGCCTCGGGTGAGCCATGGAAGCTCTATGCTTCCCAGATGTGGTGGTGAGATCGCACCTGGAAAATATGCCTATCTTCCGTCTCTCTAGCGTGCCTAATGCTCCGTGTGACCGCAGCCATTATTTGTTTAATGAAACCATGGCTTTATATTATGTCTAAATCAATACTCCTATGGCTTCTTGTAATGTGCTGAATGCAGACATCCTAGCATAAGCCTGGCTGATCCCCAGCACTCTCCTCCCCAGCTAGAGTAAAGGTGATAAACCCGGGATTGATCAAAGTAACCACAATTTTGACTTATCATCTTTAAGCTAAGTTTTGGTTTCATCTACTAACCATACTAACCATAAAACCATAAAACCATATTTTCCTGTTATGTCTCAAACAAGCCAATATCTCAGCACTAGGTAACATACATTGCTCTCTTCCATACAGATAACAAAAATTCTTTTAACTGCAACTCTTGTGATCCAGAAGTATCAGTATCAGTAAGTATCAGTATCAGTAATGAAATACAAACCACCAGAACAACATAATATTCAGTTAAATAAGAGGATTCATTTTCACCTTTATAATGCATTGCAAAATGAAACAAATTAGGCCAGAGTGATCTTAAGCACATTGAGCCTACAGGTCATAACAGACTGGACAACAGACCTGGTAAGCCAGAAATGTGCAGTATACTTAGGGCTTCCATTAAGCACACCATTTTGAAACAATGCATATTGAAATCAGTGATAGCTATTTCCCGGTTTTGGCCCCATCTGTGTATATAAAAAATTCTCTCCAACCATACACACAGAGAGACAGTTAGTTGGTAAAGAATGAAAAATCTCCCTTGCTCAGTAGCCCAGGTCACATGAGCTGTTCTATCCTCAGTCCGAAGATCCATTGTCAAATATAAAAGACAAGCAAAATGAACAGCACTATTATTTTGAACATCTCCCCCACCAATGTTTATTATGTAATGGAGCTTTGAAAACATATGCAGGAAAACAATTATGTATCAACATGTGACCCATTCTCCAAATGAACTGCATTCTCACAATTACCTTTCTACAACATCCTCTCCATTCCAGCAAGTTGAGCTGTCTTTCATCACTAGATCCCCATCACAGAGTCGTTCTGATAAAGAGGCATAAAGAGTTCTGGATCGTTTCATGTAGTTGATGAACTCCCTAGAAATTAGAAAGGCAACATTAGCAAGAATGCTAATTGGCATTCTAAATTGCTTCCTAGGACTTAATAATGCAGTAGCTGTGTTGGAAATACACCTGCTCTTGACTTTAGTGGCTAGCTCAACCAATAACAGCAACAGTACTCAGAGGGTCAAGCTGCATGTTACATACTAACACACGTGTTTCTTATACTTTGGAAGTGTAGACTCTGAGTGACAAAATGGTTGGGAAAGGGCATAATTAAGCCATCCCCTTCCATGACCCTCCAAGTTGCTTCCTCCTACCACATCCTACAGGTGTGTTTTTATCCTCAAGCACATGTCTGGAGCACAGAGGGGGGGAAGAGCTGGAGGGAGCTGCAGTAGAAAACCAATGGGTGGTGATGATTTATCACCCCCTCCACCACTTAAAATTGCCTTCATCCAAAGCAGCTTTTCGCTACAAGAAACAGCAGTTTATGGTTTAAATAGTCACATTTGCATGTAAAGTGAAATTTGCCCCTAAACTGTGAAATACGCACATTACAAAATGCATCACATAAAAATAATGCATTATTCAATGTTATATCAGTAACTATTGTGATTCCTGTGACCTATTTCTGAATAAATGTGCTTAGGGTTGAGTTGCCTGAACTTAGTTTACAATAAACTTTTTCTTGCCTATGATGTAAAATCATACTTTTAATCATACCACAGTCAGCAGGGAGAGTTAATTCTAAAATTTATGCAGAATCCATAATTGCACCCTAGGCAATCCAAATATGCCAACATGGAGGTCAACAGGTCATTTGTCACCTCCTCTACTTTAGTATTCCAAGAGAACTCATCATCTCACTAAACCTGCTCTTGTTTGTGTGTGTTGTGTGTAGCCAAGGCAAGACATCCCAAGTGGCAATTCCCAGATTTTTGCTATGAGTTTACATACATTACATATATCATGTGACTAATAAAATACTGAATAACAGCAACCAGTTGGAAATGCCAGTATTTCCCCAATTTCATATAGATTCTAATATCTAGGAGGAAAAACAATGGGATATTTTCAGCATCTCATGTGCGCAGCCCTTGCTGTCAAAACAACAACATGAATGATATGTGAGTAGAAACAAGAAACACAGGGAACAATTGTGTCCCTCTCTGGTTTGATCTTGTACATAGAACAGGACTCTCATGCCACTGTCATTCCTTCCCCCCATGAGTCCAGAGCTGTGTACAAGTATTACTGAACACAGAATTATGTCTGTAGTTTTTAAAATGCATTTTGGTTTTTGCTCCAGGTAAAGGGAGCAGACTGGTTGAGAAGAGCTTCTGAGGCAAATAGGTTAGGATGGTATAGATTTTCCTAGTAATATAATTCTTACTTGACACAAAATCCAACGGCATAATACCTTTACTAATATAATGGATAGCCTGAAAACTGTGTTAGACCTGCAGCTCATTCATTCATTTAAAGTCTGTTGTTCCTGTTACTCACATTTTCTTCAGAAAGCTTAAGGGGAGACTTCTTAAAAATTGATTTCGACGGTATTTACCTAATTTCAAAATAATATTTCAGCAAAACTTTTAACTATGTTTTCAGTTAAGAACAGACTCTCTTTTAGAATATTCTATAAGAACTAAAAGATCACTTGAAAGGCATTTCATGGTATCACTGAACAAAACACTGAGGGAGATCCAAAGGTTCCCTGCCACTAAGTGAGTAATCTTCTACTGGAGTTCTCCAGGGGAAGGAGCCTTCTTTGAATGGAATGCTTCTCACTCAGTAGAAGGGAACTGCTAGCTCCAGCCCCTTGGATGCCTAGAAACAACCCAAGAGCCTTTAATATTTGGGAGCTCATTTTAAATGCACAGATAAAGCAGGTCAGCTTCTTTTTCAATCTTACCGGGACATTTTTTTCAAACTTCTGGATTTGTCATTCTTTGAAGCTTTCAGAGGCAGAGAACTGGAATGGGCCAGGGAGAATAATCATCAGTCAGGAAATGGGGGAAGGAAGGAAAGTGGGGATTCAGGTAAATGAAGAAATGAGAAACAAAAAAAAGTAATAAATTATTTGAAAGAAAAGATAATCAAGATCATGCACAGGATTATACCAGAAAAGAATAAATGCAATTTAAATATGCTCTGATCAATAGTTAAAAAATAATAATGGCACAGCTCATCCAAAGCTTAATTCTTGCTGGATGGGCCCTCTACTTGCAGATTTGAACTTTACTCTAAAATAGATTTTAAAAAGAAAATTTACCATGCAATCCTAAGTATGTATACTCAGAAGTAAATCTCACTGAGTTCAACAGGACCTACTCCCTAGTAAATATCCTGAGGACTGCAGCCTTCGCCAATTTTTTAAAAGAATGCACCATTATAAAATGAAGGCTTAAACTGTTAAATCTATGGAACTAATCAGCCGTATCCAAATGCACTATAATGGAAGAAGGGTTGTGAGAATAAAGCAGGGCTAATGTTCTGTTGATGAGAACTTAATATGCACGTAGGTGTCATATATGGAAAATTACTCATGTTCAAGGGGACAAGGCACAGGCTCTTGCCGCCCTTAAGTACATAGCAAAGAAAGGATTAAATAAATAAATATCTGATAGTTTAGTCTCACTGAAATCATTACAAATAAAAGGGCACCATCTAAATAGGAAGACCTTTCCAAAAACTTTCCACTCATATGTTTATTTTAATGAAAATGACTCTCAGGAGTCTGTATAGGAAAACCTATGAAAAGTGGATGCTTGTATTGGTCCAGAGGACCTCCACACACTGTTTAAGTGGATGAAAAAGTGCCATAGGAAATAAAAATACAGTGAAATCCTGACATCATATTACCTCAGCTGCTCCTTTCCCCTGTTAAAACCTAAATGCTGAGGTTTTAAACAGAATGTACTTCCAGTCTGTGTATAGTTGCAGTGAGGCTCAAATATCGTAGCCAAGTCTCTTTTGTTGCCAAATGTCAAGAAGTAGGCCTGTGCAATACTGTTAATTTCTGAAATTAACAATAACATCTGACTTTATTCAGGTGGGTAGCTATATTGGTCTGAAGCAACAGAACAAAGTTTGAGTTCAGTGGTGCTCTTAAAGGTGCCACTGGACTCAAACTTTGTTCTGTCTGACTTTATTGATTGAGGTATACGCGATCATCACTTACTTAGTACATTTATATCTCATCCTTCCCTCAAAGAAACTAAGGCAAACTATATTGTTCTCTCCTTGTCCATTTTATCCTCACAACAACCTGGTGAAGAAGGTTAGGTTGCGAGAGATTTGAACCTGGGTGTTCCGGATCCAATCCAACATTCTCACAATTATACCACACTGGCTGTCAGTGGCAACACTTGTTCTTGCAATCCCAGCTTAAAAGAAAGCACAATTCCCAGTGTTTGCCCATCTCTGAATTGTGTTTGGCAAAACAACTAAAGTTACCATCTGCTGGAGAGGTGTAACATGCATGGTAAGAGTAACCAAAACATCATGCAGGTTTTGTGCAATTTTTAGCCATGCCAGCATAGTCACAGAGATAGGTTTCACAGAGTTAAAAAGATACAAGAAGGGGAAAAATAATTTAGATGGTGATAAAACAGAAAAGTCGCTATTCTTAGGAGC